GGCGCTTGGCACGCGAACTTAACCCTGTCCTAGCTCGGGTTGTCGTCAGCCAGCAGCTCGAGCAGACGCGAGAGGAGCATCCTGAGCTCCTCGCACCGCCTGCCACGGAGCTCGCACCTGACGCTGAATATCACCTGGGGCGGCCACGCGTAGTCGGCCTCGTCATTGAGCTTCACGAGGGCTTCGGCGGCGCCCACCTGTGATATATAGCGCCCCTGGCCGTGGAAGCAAGCCCAGGCCCACGACCTCCCTCCTGGCGTCCTGGATCAACTGATGCACGGTCGTAGCGCGCCTCGGCCCAGTCTCCAGCTTGTAGTCCATGGGCGGTAAGAACTTGCCAATGTCCGCCTCCGACGCGTCAGGGAAGTTGGCGCAGCTGAGGCAGCACTCGGGGAGGTGCGCATGATCGAGCCCCCCGTGCTGGAAGCCAGCGAACCCGCACGCTATGGCGTTGGCGATGTTCACCGGGAACTCGGTGGATCGGAACAGCGGGCGCGCGTTCTGACCAGCCGACCTCAGCCCATGAAACGCGTCCTTGCCCAGCAGACCTGGGCAAAGCGCCACGTGGAAACTGTCGCAGCCGCGCGCCTGGTAGACGAGCTGCTCCTCGGCCCGCCCGATGCTCGCCAACGCGCCCATGGCCGCGCCTTCCGACGCCTCCGAGCGCCCGTTGGCCCGCTCCAACTCGCGCACCAGCTTCTCCATGCCCGGGCCGATCTCGGCGGTAGGCTGCGGCCCCGCGAGCGCCCTCTCCTCCGCGGGCATGGATGACGCACCTGCGTGCCACTCCCGCGGTCTCGTCGCTGCTTCAACGACCGACCTCGCGCCCTCGTGCCCCCACGGCGCCGACGCCCCTGCGCCACCCGCACCCCGGAACGAGAGGGGGCCCAGGCGGGGCGGCGACGGCCCAGCGGCGGGCCTCTGGCCGAACCCGATGAAGCCCAGCCCTGGGGGCGACGCCAGGAGCGAAGGCGCCGCCGCTGGGCCGGCGCTGCCTCCTGATGCTCTCGGGCCCCTCCTGAGCGCGGCCCTCCTCCTCGCTCGAGCTCCTCGCGCCAAGCTGCCTGGCATCCCTGGAGAAGGCTGCGCCCGATGTCGCTGGCCTCTTCCTCCAGCGAAGCGTCCGCGGCCTCGATGAGCTCCGCCAAGAACGAGGGGGCCCGCACCCGCGTCGGCCGCCATAGCGCGCCTCGCGCTCTCATCCGACTGGCCCTCGGCCCTCATGAGCAGGCACCCCTCGACGAGCGCGACCCTCGGGTCTGCCGGCGCTGCGCCTCGCCCCTCGTCTTAGCCCGCCTCAGCCTCGTCGAGGTCGCCCTTCACGCCCCTCCTAGTCGGCGTTGCGCTCCTGCCCCTGGACCTCGCTCGCCTCGCCAGGTGGTGCCTGCTGCCGTCGCGCATGATCGCGGCCAAGGAAGCGCGGCTGAGACTGTCGCCCTCGTAATTCGCGCCGTCGCCGAAGTCAGACAGGCGCAAAGCCACCCCCGCCTGCCAGCAAATGGCCGGGGGCTGCGCGCAGATGAACGTCGAGCAGCTCCGACCTCGGCGCTGGTAGGGCGCCGCCTGGAATGGAAAAGATGACATTCAGCCCGACCGCCTCCACGTCTCCTGGGGGCGCGCCCCCCCACGAACTTGGCCGGAAAGCTGCAGTAAGCTCGCCAGCCCGCGGCCGAGTCAGCCAAGAGGTCACGCACGCGCAACAGCCACGCTGCGTCCGCGGCGACCTTGGCAGCTGGACTGCTCCTGCGTGTAGCCGATGGTTGCCGCTCAGGTCCCGTGCCCTGCCTCCTCTCCTGCCGCGCGCTGCCCCCCCCCCCGGCTGCGGCGCGGTTGGCCAGCCGCGCCGGCCCGCTACCCGATCCGCGGCGCGCGCAGCGCAGAGGGGGAAACCGCCCCTCTCAGTGGTCTTCTCGCGGAAGCAGATGGACCAGGCAGACCTCATCTGAGCTGCCCGGGCCTCGCAAGACTGGGCGTGAAACGGGCAGGCCCTAACGAGCGCGCGCCGTTCACCTCCGGGGCTTCACGCACGTCGGAGACGGCGGCGTCCTCGACCAGCATCAGCACGGGATGTCCTCGCTGAGTCCCGACAACCCTTGGCACACAGCACCTGCGCGCCTCCGGTCCGGAAGGCGATCATGTCCGCCTCGCACACGTCTTCGCTCGGATCCGACTCAGTCTCCAAAATGGGGTCCATAACCACAGCCTTGGTCGAACCGCTGACCGCTGCCCGGGCGCGGGCGCCCCCACCTCCGGGCTGCGCAGCACCCGCACGCCCTTCTAGCAAGCCCCGCCAGTCCTCAGCACGTCCAAAAGCAGCACACTCTGCTCCCCGCCCTGGCTCGCCCAGCAGGAGCGAGCTTGGCCAGGTCGGACACGTTGATCGCGGAGTTGTGGCCGACAACGCACGACGAACATACATGGAGCATGGGCCTGTCGCCCAGAGGCAAGGTGCACGGCGCCGCCGAGCACAAGTGCACTAGGCCGATCCCGTCGTCGTCTCTTGTAGCCTCCAGGTCGGCCCTGAAGTGCCGGCGCGAGCTGCCCTTGACCTCCTTGAAGCGGTGGACGCACCCATGGCGGCGACGCGGCTGCCTTTGATGGGCCCCTGCTCCGGCCGCGCGACCGCCCCACCCGACTTGATTAGGAGGTCCTTGGGCACCATGTTCTCTGAGCTGCCTCCTCGCGCCCCCACCTCCTCCCTTACATAATCGGCGTCGACGGCTTCAGCCTCACCTGGACCGCGCCAGGTCAGAGCAGCACCAGGCTTGCCGTCAAGGGCGACCTGCACGTCGCGGCCCGTTTTGCTGCCCTTGACGAAGCCGCGCAGAATCGTGAAGACGAACGCGCAGCACGTCCAGGCCGTGCGCAAGACCCTCGAGATGAGGCTGATCACGCAGCCGACGACGGTGATCACCCCCGCAGCGGCCACACTCAGGCCGAGCCATTGGAGCCGTGCCCAGTAGCGGCCGCAGATGCACTTGCCCACGGCGTTCACCATGCCCGTGAGGATGGCGATCACCTGGTGGAGCATAGCCCCCAACGCGCGGCCGACCCTCTCGCCAAGCCATTTGAGCGCAGCCTCAAACCGAGCCGTGGCCAGGGCAAGCCCGCCCGGCACGACGTTGCCCTCACCTGGCGAGGCGTCGGAAGAGATGTCTGAGGGTGGATGCGCCTCCTCGGCGGTCGTGCCCTCGCCTCCTCCAGCTGGCGGCTCCTCCGCCGGCGGCGGCGGCGCCGACGCATGCTGCGCGCGCGTGGCCTTGCCGGCCGACGGAGGCGCAGCCACAGCAGGGCGCCGCAATGGTGCTGGCGGCTGCTGCTCGCCCGCCAGAAGTTGCCCCGGCTCTTCAGGCGTCATTCTCTCCACCGGCAGCGACCCTGGCGCCGCTGACGCCGCGCGCTGCTCCGCCAGGGGCGGGCTCGGCGCCACCCCATCGTCGTAGTAGTACGCGAGTACTCCTCGTAGGCGGTAGTGCGCCCACCCGAGCCGGCCATGGCTGGCGGCGGGCTCGTGGTCGGGTGCGCTTCGAGCCGCGGCGACGCCGCCTCCTGCTGCGCCGTGTCCGCGGGCAGCACGGGGTCGGCTGGCTGACCGTCCGCGGCGTCCTCTGCGCAGCTTGTGCCGTAGCAGAAATGCGCCTCGAAGTCGGCGCGAGTCCCGTGCGCCTCCTCCGCGCCGACGTCACTCGCGGCGCCTGGTCCCTCCCGCGCGCGGCCCTCACTAGGCCCCAGCGCGTAGCTGGCGGAAACCGAGAAGGCGGCCGACAGCCCCACGCCCAGGGAAGCATCTAGCCACCCGAGCGTGGCCGCCAACGCTGTGGAGACGATGCACTCGAGAGAGACGTGCCGCACCGTCGCCGCGAGGCCGTATAGCCGCGCCCTGCGGCTGGCGCCTCGCTGCCCAGCGGCACCTCCTCTTGGCCCGTTTCCCTCGGCCCTCGGGCGCCTCGACGAAGCGACCGCCGCGGGCCGCGCGACACCTCCGGTCGCCGCCCGCACTGGAGGGGGGTCCTGGCCCAGCCACTACCCAGCACTCCTCGGAATGCCTGGCCGAGCCGCAGGCCGGGCCGGCGAGCTATGGCCCCGCCCGCCCGCCCCCCAGAAGAACGCTGGGCACCGCAGGCGCCCTTGAGCATGGAGGAGAGAAGAGGGAAGACAAGCGAGAGCAGAGGAGAGGCTACGAGATGTGAGAAAACCACCTGCTGGTCTAGCGAATGTCTAACAAGAGGGCCACAAGAGGGCCCCAGCTCCAAGAGACCCCAAGACGCCCTCAAGAGGTCCCCAAAAGGCTCCCAATAGACCCCCAAGAGGCCCCAAAAGGCTACCGCGAGGCACCCAAGACACTCCAACAGGCCCCTGGGAACGCCAAGAGGCCCGCAAGACACTCCAAGAGGACTCCAAGAAGCTCTCACGAGACATCCGAAGAGACTCCGAGAAGCATCCAAGAGGCCTTCGGCCTTTTCTGATCGCCCTCCTGCTCCTCTTCCTCCTCCTCATCATCACATTCATCTCCCTCATCCGCCGATTCCTCCTCCTCCATCCTCCTTCCTCCCCCTCCCCCTCCCCCTCCTCCTCATCCTCCGATTCCTCCTCCTATCCTCCTCCTCTTCGGGTATGACTCTTTATTCCACTGCAGGCTCATCCGCATCCCGGATCAGAGCAACTCGCCTGGGTATCGTTTCTGGATGGGCTGGTGGGGGTACGCGAAGCGTCTAGAATTTTCTTCGGCATGCCCTTCCTCCTTCCCCCCTGTCTGCCTTCAGCATACCTACAACCGAACCAGGCGCCTGCGAGGAAAGCGGGTGGGCTGGTCCGTCTTGAGAGAATCGAAGACCCCAAGACCGACGCACACTGAAACAAAGAATATTCTGCTCGACCTCTACTGAAACAGTGCTGCAACGAAGTACCCACCACCTTCTGAGGGAACATCCACATGACTCGCGGTAGACTCAGCATCCAACGCCACTGCAGCTTTCATGAAGGAGCATGTGGGGCCTGGCCTGATCATTCATCATGATGTCCGTGTTATACTGGACGTCATCGAAGTTCTTCAACGCCTCGCAGCTGAAAGGTAAGGTCGCTCGGTCCATCTGCTGCCAATCGGCAATCTGGTCATACCTAGCACAAAACCCACTGATTGACAGCTAGGAGTACATAGATAAGCTACGCTGACGGGTGGGCATAAAGCGCCAGCAAGGTAGCAGGAATGCTCACGAATTGACAGCATGGACTGGATGGCCGGAATGCGGCATCTAGGAACGTGCTAGTTGGCCAATATATCCTTACATCTACTTGGTCGTACGATCAGGGGCTCATCACTTAGAAGTCGGGGGGCCTCCTGGATGTGCAGAGACCCACGACGGGCCCAGAAGCTTCCCGCAAAGAGGCCCCGAAAGTGCCAGAAAAGGGACAAGGGCCAGAAAAAATTGGCTATGGAAAACTGATACAGGCTCGGAGTCTCCGACGTGAGTATCGTGCCTGCTCACGGGATGCCTTGCTTGCAGCTCGCAAAACCCTGACCACCAGCGCATATGAAGCGGATGCAGCATCTGATCTTGGACGAGGCGCATCGAAGGTCAAGGCTGGCGCCGGCGTAGGTATTGGACGCACGCCGCACCCCCCTAGCGGTCCGAACACATGCAAGAGTGCTTGCACGAGCACATGCAGTGTTGAGCTTGAGCCTGGTACACAAACAACAAACTCTGGCAGCACTCAACACATGTTCAATCCGCCAGACTCCCCCTCCAAGATGCCCCGAGAACGGCTGAAAAGGAGCCGAGAATCAGATCTACTTAGATGCGTATAGGATGCCTCTGGCATTGTTTACCGAACAGGTCAGGCCTCAGCCAAACTAACACATGTGTGCGTGACCAAAAAAACAAAAATCGAGCCAAGCCGTAGCTTGCTATACACAGTCGTAGAAGCACCATGCGCATATGAGCACGGAAGAGAAAGAAGATGATGCTTTCGTGGGCATCCGGGCGGGAACGTTTGCTGAGAGTGCCACGGCGGCGGCCCCCGAGAGACGCTGTGCACTGCAAGCGGATAGAGTGTCGCTCCGCTCCGCGGGGCGGGGGGCGGAGAACGGCTCGGGACGTTGACGCCTGGGGACTGGCGCAGCGTGCCGCGCCGACGCGTCGTGGGCCAGCGCGCCGGCGCCGCGCGGCACGCTGCGCCACAATTCCCGGCCGCAAACGAGCATGTACGAGGACGAAGATTCTGCTCTGGTGGGCATGTGTGGGAAGGGTACGAGTCCGCTTCGGGCCAAGCGGCCAACCAGTCGGAGCAGGGGAACACTCGGCGCGCACGTCCGAGCCAACAGCCAGCCAGACTTCCAGGGACTTCTCGACCCGAGGCTCTGGCTTGGCTGAGCTGCAGCCAAGTTTAACATGTTCTGCTGCTGTTATCCTCCTCATCCTCTGATGCTCATCCTCTACTGCCCCTCCTCCTCCTCCTCCTCCTCCTCCTCCTCCTCCTCCTCCCCCTCCTCCGCCTCATCCCTCCTTGCTAATGATTGTAGTGGTCTCTTGGCTCGGAAGCGCGCGTGACGAGGTTCCAGCTTGGTTGTTTTACAGTTGGCAAGCTTAGCATGAATGCCCGCGGCGCCAAGGCGAGCTTGCAGCCATGGGTGCGCTCATTCGGAGACCAAACGACGAGCCCGCCCTACCGACGCGTCTGGTGGTGACACGAGGTCAACATGCTCATCGGGAATGGGGGCGGATGAGGAGGAAGGGGAGGCCTGTGGTGGGGATCACCCGGTCTGTGGTCACAAAGACTCACGTGGTGTGGACGTTTTTGGGCCTGCACAGGAGACACCCCTGCGCACCAGGCTGCACGCCGTGAGCTGTTGCTGATCCGCAGCGAGCTGGATCCGGCAGGGGGGTCGGCCCTCGGCGGGGCGCGTCGGAGGCAACCTGGGCACAGCGGGCAGGGAAGGCATCTGCACACGGCGAAATGCTTAAGAAATCATGGGTTAAGAAACCCATAGTCTCAGAACTTGAATAAAAAGCCAACATGTCTATTAAAATGTTAGGATTCACATTGAAACATTAAGAATAATCGAGACTCTGGCCGAAAATTTAAATTTTCTTAAGCATCGCCTAAGGTGTACACACTGCGAACATGGGAGACTGAACTCCTGGTCTGCGCATTCGTCATTGGAGGCCCCAGTGGTCGGGACCAGGCTCAGCTGCAACAAGCGCCACGTGAGGCATCCGAGGCGAGGCCCCAGCCCAGATCTGCCGTTATCCCCGCCGCCTCTGCACCTGTTCGGGGTCCAGACCAGGTCCTAACTTGTCAATGGATGAGTCCGCGGGTGTCTCGAGTCAGATTGATGACACTCTGGAAGTCGCCTGCTGGGGAAAAACCATCAATCTTCCCCCACTTTTTTCCTCCTTCCTCATCCATCCCTTTTCCCTCCTCCTGTTCCTTCCTCGTCAGTTCATCTTCTTTTCTCGTATCTTCCTTACAATTCCTCCCTCCTACAGTCTTCCTTCAGCTTTCTCTCCCTTCTCAATATCCTCCTCATCATCATCATCATCACCACCACCACCACCGCCATCATCATCATCATCCTCATCATCATCATCATCATCACCATCATCATCATCATCATCATCATCATCGTCATCATCATCATCATCATCATCGTCATCATCATCAGCATCATCATCAGCATCATCATCAGCATCATCATCATCAGTTTAACACCATCATCATCATCAACAGCATCATCATAATCATCAGCAGTATCATCATCGTCAATCGTCATCATCATCATCAACATCAGCAACAGCAACATCACCATCAGCATCAGCCTCACCAGCAGCATCATTCCATCAGCATTAGCATCAGCATCATCATTACCATCAGCAGCATCATCAGCAGCAGCATCATCAGCACCCTCATCACAATCATCCGCATCATCATCAGCATCAGCATCATCATCAGCATCATCCTCGTCATCATCACCGTGATCATCATCCTACTATAACTCCTCCTCATCATCATAATTCCCTTCTCTTCCCTCCCTCCCTCGTCTCCCTCCCTCCCTCATTCTCGCATCCTCCTGGGCACATTTTTTTAATCTGCGGGGCGAGAGCGAACCTCTTCCGCTAAAAGCTAGGCGGGCTACGCACAGCTTTAATCAGGGAGACGGGGCACAGGAAGGCGGGGCTTCAGGCGGCCGGAGCGGGCGGGGCCCGAGGTGCAGGCGGTGCCGAAGAGCTTGCACAGGAAAAGGTACGCCGCGGACAGGGGCCGGGGGCGAAGACCCGGAAGGCGAAGGAGACGGTGTTGCCGTCAACGGCACGTCGCGAACACCAGCCTCGAGCACTGCAGAGGAGGACGTGCCACTTGACCAGGTCGACGCCCAGGACCTCCCAGACACACGTGTACGCTCATACCCCCAGCTGGGGACCTTGGCCTGGACTGGGCAGGGCAGCCCCAAAGGCACCCCCCGTGCACCCCCAGTACCCTCTCGGGGTGCGCCCCGCTCTCCTCCTCCTCCTCCTCCTCCTCCTCCTCCTCCTCCTCCTCCTCCTCCTCCTCCTCCTCCTCCTCCTCCTCCTCCTCCTCCTCCTCCTCCTCCTCCTCCTCCTGACGTTTCTGACGTTTCTGACGTTTCTCGCTACACAGCGTCTTGTCGCGCGCCCCGCGGGCGCGGAGCGCGCCGCAGCGGCCCACTAGGGCCGTGCGGGCACTCGAACAGCGGCCCCGGGAACGCGACCCCGAGGAGAGCAGGGAGGACCAAGGACCAGATATAAACCTCAGAAGAGGGAGACGGGGGCCGGGTTTCTGAAAAAAGGGGGCCCGCCAGGGCCCATGGGCGGGCGCCGCGCGCGCCCACGCCCGCGGGCGTCAGGCAGCGCGGCACGGCGCACGGCCAGGCCGACGGCCTCTTCGTGGGCCGGCGGCCGCACGGTGGCGGCTGGGCTCCCTTCGGCGCGGAGCGCTGAGCCCAGCCGCCGTGGGGGCGGCTTCGAAGGGCTGGCTGCCCCCCGCCGAGGCGACCTCCACCCTTCGGCGCCGCGCGCTGTGGAGGCTCGCCGAGCCACTCGTGGGCTCCAGCAGGCCAGCACTGGCGGCTGCTCTCTCCTCCTCGTGCCGACTTAGGCCAGCTGGCCTCGGCCCCTCGCATGCCACGCGAGGGCGACGGGGATACACCCTTCGGCGCCTCGCGCTGTGTATCCCAAGCCGAGGGGCAGGCTGCCCCTTCTCTTCTGGTAGACTCTGATGTTCTCGAGCCTGCAGTACTGCTTGGCGCTGTAGTGCTCGAACATGGGTCCCTCGTCCCAGTCGTGCTGGTCGAGGTGGTACTTCTGCGTATGCCATGCCCAATCATGCTGATCCTCATGGTACTCGACCAATGTAGTATATCATATGCCCTCAATCATGTAGCACCCGACGCTGACGTACAGGTAGGCGCCGATGTAGAGGGGTGGTTGTGGTGTGGAGGTCGTTTGTTTGTTGGCTGAGTGTGGGTTGTCGAGCGTGCTGGTTGGGTCGTTGGGAAATCGGCTTGTTGCTGGTGTTGTGTTGATGGTCGTGGGCGTCCATGGCCTCCATGCACCGACTTCAAGTGGGAGTCTTGGCTGTCCCACCTCGTCCCGCTATGGCTAGGGGCCACTGTGCCCTCGGCGGGGGCGAACCCCAGGCCTGGTACTTATTATTGTCGGAGTGGGATGTCTCGGCTGTCCTATGCTTCGCCCTCGGGCGCTCGGGTAGCTCCTCCTTCTCCATGGGGATGGTGGGGGTGGCGAGCTAGGGCGGACCGCGGGGGCGCGGGCAGTGGCCGTCCTACCCCCCCCCCCCTGCCCCTCACCATCCCCCCTGGTGGGCGCGGGAAGTGCTCGTCCTTCCCCCCCACCCTTCGAGCCCGTCTCGAAGTTTGATCCATGCCTCACCAGGGCAGCGTTGACTTGACAAGTGGTGTGCAGGGCCGTGCTGGGGATGGTATCGATGTCGGTCAGTAGTGCGGCGGCGTCGTGTGAATCGCCCGCTGCCAGC